TAACTGGCCACTGTGGCTTGTGAACGCTCAGGAGGAGTTTCGGGAGGTTGTGCAGCCTTTATGTAGGACAGGGTGTGCTGGAATAGAGCTTTCAGCAATTCAAGGCTTGGGTTTTCTTACAATTAAGCTCTAAGGCGATTAATATGCAGGTTTGGGGAGGACATGCTGAGCAGTGAAGTACGCATTAGTTTGCCTCATCTGCATGTGTGTGAACACCATTTTGTACACGTGCTCACTGCGTTGTGGGGGGAGAAAAGGGTGTGAAATTTGGAGCTTGTTCCAGGAAGAACAGTTGGCTCCTTCTCCCTCAGGGCAAAACCAAGCTGGCCTGTTGCCCTGTTTTGGACACCTCGCTACCCTCTGCAGAGTGAGGCCAGTGCAACAGGAGGAGGAAGCAGGGATCTGCAGGGTGAGGAGGCCACTAATGCTGGCACCAGAATGGCAGTGTCCTCTGTGCATGAGCTGATGCCAAGCACAGCCAGGAAGCCACCAGGAGGGCTCTTTGCAGCCTGCTCCTTGCTGTGCTGGGTGTGCAAACATTTTGAAAGAGGCAGGTTGGGGCCTGCATGGAAGCCTCTTCTACCTTTTATGATTGGAACAGCTTGTGAGGGAGAAGCTGTCATTTTTTCCCAGGGTGTGTGGAACCAGTTTCACTGGTACAGCGTGCTGCTGTGCTGCTGAGCCAAAGCCTATCATGAAAGGGACTGTGACGTACCTGTGTGTGGTGCTCCTGATTTGCAGGAAGGGCGTGCACTGCAAGCTTGCAGCCTTTAGGTACTGTTTCAGCCATCTGCAGAGCCACCTATTTTTCTCCAAGGGCTGTCCCCATGCAGAATCATGGGATGCCAGCCATTAACAGTTTAAAGCACTGTTATAGAGATGCCACTCAACTTTGACTTCCAGAAGGAAGATTTTTCATTTCATAGCTGTTTTTTTTTTTTTTTTTTTTCTCAGTTATTGTCACAAATGGGACCTCTAATGCCTCTGCTTCTCTGGGATATTTCTCAGGGTGGTATTGCTGGCTTTCCTGATTTTATCGTGTCCTCTGGCATTTGGTGTTTTTCCTTAAACTGCAAGTTCTTTGCATCTTCTGAAAGCACGATTCTTGGATTGCCAAAAATATGGTTCTAATTCTGGTGATGAAAAAAGATTAAACTTGCTGGAGAAAAATAAACTTACAAACAAATCTGTTTCCACCCTTTCATTTTGTCTGTAAGGTTGACTCCCAATCATTTTAAACCCTTGCCATCAGCAGTGCTGCAGTAGCCACTGCAAACAGATCTCTCAAGTGGTTAAATAGAGAGTTAGACAAGTTGAGCTACCCCTCCTCACTGTGACTCTGTGTGGGCAGTGACAGCTTCTCTAGGCTCTGCTTATGAAGGTATTTCCTTTGTGATTGTTGTATGTCTTTGAGGACACAGAGAAAACCCGAATCTTTTTGGCAAGATCCTTACGAAACTTCTAGTTCTGTAAATTAAGTTTTAACTTAAAGTTGCCTTTAAGGTTGAGGACTAAAATATTTGGGGCTTTTGACTTGCCGGAATCTTGCTTGCAAATGATTTTTACTGAGCTGTTCTTCAAAAAAGTTTTGAAAGCCTGTAACTTCAGTGCAGTCAAGTAAAGTTGGTCTGGATCACAGGTGTGCCATGATAAAACAAGGCTGTACAACTTACAGGAAAAGAAGTTTCTTCATCTTGCTATGATCCATGTCCTCTTTTCCACTCCCTTCTGGTATTGCTAACATGCCAGGCTTGCCAAGAGGAATTAATGGGTATGGGCTCAACCCCGAAACTGAAGGGTTGTTGGAAACCACCTTCCATTTCATTCATAAGTACTGTGCTTTTGGTGCTCCGCTCCGTCAACATTCTATTAGTAAGAAATTACTCAGAATTTTGGGGATGATTAAAAATGTGCAAAAACTTTTGAGTAGTGTTTACTTGTTAAGAAAATAAATGAAGGTATGTTTGGAGCAATTGGAAGCAGTCCAGCTTTGGGCCAAAAGCTGGAATGCTGTATTCCACTTTAAATTCGCCCTCTCTTGGCTCAAAAACTTTAGCATGTTAATTTGCTTAATTCTTCAGTTCTTGTGAAAAGAACTGTATGTGTGTTTCAGACAGTAAGCCAAGTATTTCACAGTCCTGCATAGAAAATCACTTTTTCACTGATACAAAAGTGGACTGACACCAAAATTTTATGAATGCTTATGTACGTGCACAAAGTGTGGTGCACCCTGCTCATGCAGATATGATGACATAAATGCATGTCTGCAGCTTTATATCCTCTAGCTTTCTTGTCTTGCTGCTTTCATGCAGCTCTGTATATGAAACTGGAAAATACAATAGAAGCAGCTTGAGAAACATATATAGGTCTATTCCTTCTTGCTACCTTCATTCTCATCAAATGTTTTTCTACCCATCAATTGGAATTTTCAAGGTAGGGATGGCAGAGAAGAGTAAAATCAATGAAAGCTGAGGTGTTTATTTTTTGCCATGTAAATGCTGCATTGAGGAGACATCAGTGTCTGTACTAGAAGTCCAGAACAAATCTTGCCCTGTACTGATGGGTTGTTCGAAAGTATCAGCATGCCCAAAACAGTTTTTCCCTATTGCTGTTTGTTTCCCCCAGATAAACAAATTTCACAATGGTTTACAACCCATCCCCAAAGCCTCCAGGCTGCTCTACTTGCTTTAGCTGTAAGTATGTGTGCAGCCTACGGGGTGGAATAATGCCATGATCCGTGTGCTGTGTTTAAAAATACTGTGGCTGTGCTTCTCGGTGGCTGCTGGAACATCAATGTGGTGATAAGTCCAGGGCTGGATGCTGAGTGCTGTGCCAGCTGCAGGGATTTCCAAAGGAGACTGGTGCTACTGGTATATGTCTAAGGTACCCACATGTCCCTTGGCTGAACAGGGTGTGCAAATTGTACAGTTGTCTTCCTATTCTTGTAAGCCTGTGCAACAGGAAAATCATACATTCTTAAGCATAAAACAAGAAAATGAGACAGCATAAATAAACCTGTGTTTCAGTTCCGTATCTGTGTGAAACTGAAGAAATATCAGCCAACGAGGTGTTGTGTTCTAAAGCATAAATATTTAATTGCCACTCTAAGGATAGGCTGGTAAGGGAGGATGGAAAAAGTTAACCACACACTTATTTTGCTTGTGGGCAAAAGTCCAGCAGATCTTTCATGAGAGGGATAATTATGATACGATGGTGCAGAAACGCGTGTGGTAGCACATGTGGATGCTGACCTGGCAGCTCCTGCCAGTGGTGATAGGGCTGTGCGATGCACAGAGTCATGTTTTCTGCTGGGAAGATGTTGGAGGAAGGGCTGAGGGAATGGGATGGAGGTAGGAGGGGCAGGCCCAATTGCAGACCCTCAAGTTCTACATCATTAAACATTCTGGAGAAATAATAGACGCTGGTGAAGGACTGGGGCAGTGGGTGACTGGTCTGAGTCTCTGAGCATCTTCTCTCCCCTCTCACCAAAATCTGCTCTGGCAAAACACCTGATGGAAAGTGATATAATTTGCAGTCAGATGAGGACATGCATATTAATGTAGGCTGCAGGAGAGAGAGGAAGGAGGACTAGTGCAGGAAACGTTACGTTATGTGGAGAAACAGGCTCCTTGGCCACTTTAATTGGCCTTTTCGTTGCAGCTCCGTTTCTGGCTTTCACCAAGGGATTTTATATGGATGGAGATTTTTTTTTGTCCTTCTTAAATTATTTATTTATTTATTTACTTTTTCTTCCTCAGAGCGAGCAGTATGGTGGGAGAGCTGCAGAGGACACAGCCCTGGCAGCACCACGATGATCAAAGCTGAAGGGAGGGCAGTGATGTCAGGGGCTCATAGCAAAGCTGCTGGGCGATGCAGCCTGGCTGCATGCAGAAGGATGACAGGCAGTGGAGGAGATATAGGGGTGTCAAAGGAACAATAGGGTGCAAAGGTGCCTTTGCCTCACCTTTGAATGTGTTCTCAACCCTTTCAAAAAAAAAAGTATCGTGCCTAAGCAATAGGTATACCTACCTGTAACTACAGAAACACGTTTTGAATTGCTGAAATTACAACAAAGGGGCATGTTTTACATGCAAAACTTGTGCATGCGTTTTTGGTAGCGTATGCCTTTTATTTCATTCAAAAGAAAGGCCTGTGAAGACTAGGAAAAGAAGAGGATACTGTCTCTTTATGAATACTAATAAGGAAATCAAGGGGGACAATGGCACTTCAAGTTTCATCTTTCCATTTCCTAGAGGCGCAAACTCTGCAAGTTGTCACCTTGGTGTATTCAGTGCCTCTTGAAGCACTAGACTCCTCCAGAGAGAATGTCAGCCCCAGCCCTGGGCAGTTTTGACAAACAGAGTATATATTGATACATGATAAAGTATGCTAGAAATCACCCCAGCGCTAAAGGCTACTATAGTTTTAATATCATCATTTGAATTAACAAGCATTCTGTGGAGAAATAATGAGCTTTCATTATTCAGAACATCATCCTTACCCCGGGAACTCAGAAACCATTAGCTCTTGAGAACTTAATGAAAAGATGATAAAGAATGTTTTAGATAAAAGTTTGAACGGGTGCACTTGGTAACTAAGGTAAAATATTAATGTTTCTCTCGGTGATGAATCGGTGTTGCTAAACTCGTGCTGTGGGAGGAGGCGGAGGGGTGGGCAGGTGTTCCCATGCATGAGGTGGTGGGCAGGGCAGAGGATGCTCTCTGGGCACCAGGCTGTTGTTAGTGGCATGCCGAAGGGATTCCCGGCTTTGTCAACGACTCGTGGCATTGCTGTGAGAGCTGGAAGGGGTGGAAGGACCAAAACAAAACGGGAAAAAACATTATAAAGTAAAACAAAACATCCTTCTCTGAAGCCACTGACCAGACGCTCCGTTTGGGCAAGTTGGAATGTGGTTGCCACTTTGTGAAATGCCATATGGGTGGCTTGCTATGTGTCTGCAATAAAAACCCTCGGTGCAATAAACGAAGAAAAAAAATATATAAAAGTTTAAATTTTATTGGGTGTAAAGCTCTTAAAGAACTGCTGCTCTCTAAGAGTATAAAGATTGCTGAGTCTCAGTGTAGTACCCCAACTGAAACGTGTTAGTCCTGCTGTTTTCTTCCTTTAACTGTAGCAATTTGCTTTCTTGCTGTTCGTTAATCCTCATGAGTGCGGGGGGAGGCAGCCGGGCCTCACCTGCAGGCGATGGGAGCGGGTGGCTGTCCTGCCTGGGCAGAGGTGGTCTGGGGACCCCTGGGTTCGAACTGCAGTAGGAGAATTGTCATCAGCGACCAGGGATGGGGGGAGAAGAAAGGGAACAAATAGGAATAAACTATCACATAAACAGTCTTAAGTCACGGTGCTTGCCGCTAACAGATGCAGTTAGGTAAATGCTGTTACCTCAAGAGGTGTTATCTTCTGGGGATCCTTATCATAATTTTGTTTTAAATCCGAACAGCTGTTGTTTAACTACCACAGACCACAATTTATCTACAGCTTGAGGCCATAAAGGTACCTTTATTACACTCTCTCCTTTTTTTTTTTCCATTTGATTTAATTTCAGTGTGTCTGACACCAAAATGCTATATACAATTTGCATATTACAATATGCACTACTGCAGATTCCATGCGCTGCTAAATGGGAAAATCGGAGAGGGATGGTAAATGGGTAAAGCTTGCAGTGACAAATAAAAGAGGAAGACGAGCTCCCATGTTTCATTTACATGTAAAATATTCTGACAATAGTTGTTTCTCCAAGAACAAAGAGCTGGTTTTTCTAGGGTGACTGGTTTATGATGGCTGCAAGAAAAAAAAAAAAAAGGATGTTTTTTCTGGCACCGGAACAGAAGCATGCTTATCTGAATTGAGCCCTGGGGCTTGCCATATAATTGGAATAAAACTTAAGTCTTACTTAAGAAACCAACAAATATGGAAGCAGCAACCATATCCAAAAGGAGCAGCCACTGTGCGTGAAGACTGAAAATCACCTTTCTGCAGGCAGTGTCCTGTCTGAAGTTGGAATCTTGAAAAGAGGAAATTGTGGCAAAATGTAGCTTTGTTTGGAGCATCTGGTGTTTTGCAGTGGATTTCTAAAACTTATTATCAGATAATGAGGGAAAGGCATAACAGGCGTTCTGTCATGTGTGGTGTGCATGGGCAGTTGTGGCTCTTAGAGGGTATCCTTCAAATTTCTGCAGTTCCATGCCCAACAACCTAGGGAGGGTATCTTCCAAACCCAGTTTACCACTTCAGTCATGCAAGGAAATTTGTCTGCATGTACTTGAGTTTCTCACAATTGCAATGCAGGAAATGCTTATTGCCTCTCTATGTACTTCCCTTTGCCCTCAGGGAACAGGGAGACCTTTGCTTATGGAGTTGTTCATCTAGCAGCTCCTACTGATGCACAAACAGTGCTGAGAAATACTCCCCAAATGAAAAGTCGGGAGAGAGAATTTGGATAGACCTTTACACTTAACCCCAAAACCTCCAGCGTTCTACTTCATATTAGTTTTTGTTCAGAATAAATAATAGTAATGACAACAGAATTAATTATGTGTATAACAGCTTGATGACAAAATATAACTCACCACCTGTGCTATCCTTCCTTCATGCTAGGTGGGAATATGAAGGCTGAACATGTCTCTGGGACTTGCGAGTGGGGCCTATGTTTTGAACTGTTTTTTTTTTTAAACACAGTATACATAATCTGTTGGCACTTATTAAAAAAAATATACCATAACCCAGGAAAAAAGTTGACCTTTCATATTATGACATCCATCGAGTAACATGAGACTGTTTAGCTTGGCTTCTCAAGGGCAAGCATGGAGGAAACCACCTGGTGGGTGGAAGTAGGCAGTGGATGCATGACTGCTTAATGACCACTTCTCAGTGCAGTTCTTGGGCGCTGCTGCTGATCAGCCTGGCTTCATCTCCTTACACAGTGCTTAATAACAGTATGGGCAGAGTGGACATGCTATGCAGATTTTATTCATTTCCTTTGATCCCCCTCAGATATGTCCTTGTTAATCTATTTCCTTGTTTTGGAAAACTGGAGAAATCAGGAAGGGACTGCAAAGAACCACCAAAACACTGTGTTAATGTAGCAGTGGAGTTTGCAGCATGGAGCACTTCTCCTTGCAGATGTTATGCAGTGCTTAATGTCATAAAATAATGAATGGTAGTGGGACATTTTAAAGGATGTGAGGGTATGTAATGGTGGCTAGTGTCTCTTGAATAGTATTGCTCCTGAAAATACAAATACACAAAATATGTTGTCTAGAATTACAGGGCAGGAGCAAATAAACAGTTAATTGACTGTTCTGTAATTAATTCTACATGCGTGAAGTGCGATACTTACGGGACTTGCCAAAGTAACATACACACTTCACAGTCATCTCCTGGTGCCTTTTCAGGTGTAGAGGATTTTGGTAGTCTCTGTAGCTCTGGAGAGTAATGAAATTGTTATAATTTATTCCTGATCTGCTGTTTTTAAATTTTTTTTTATTTTTTTATTTTATTTTTTTCCTTCCTACCCTCTTTTTTGAAACAAAATCTTTTTCATTGTCTCATAGTCCAGAGGAAAAAATAGTACAGCTGCTGTTTGGAAGCTCAATTATTCTTTGATACAGTGGAATTCTTTTCAGTTGGTTCTTGTCTAATTGGAATGGTTTATGCTTCTTGCTGTGTATTAATCTTAAACACAGGGTGTGACAGTAACATAGCCCAGTGGGCTGCAGACTGAGTGAAGGTACAGATATGTACAGAGACATAGATGAGGCCTTTGACTATCTGGCACCTGATTTTCCCCACCTTTAACAGCATATGCTGTAATTCCATAAACCCGGTGAAATGCTTGTTGCCATCATGCTGGGTAAGTAGCTCAAAACTCAGAGCTGCACATGTAGGAATATGGATGAGATCCTTCAAAATGAGTCCCGGCAACAGTAAATTCTTGACCTGGCTCTGTCTCATGGTTTCAGCAGTCCCCAAAGCTGTGGATCTCTGGACTTCATCCAAGTCTCTGAAGTCAGCTGTAATCTTTTCCAGTGCTGCCACAAAAAGCATCTGTAGTTTGGTGACACAACAGGAGTGTTTCAGACTGCTGAAACCAGGCTTGGGAAAGGAGCTCAGGGGAACTTGTGCGTGCACAAGGTGTGTGTATGTTCTCCAAGTATGCAGCTTGTGCTACGTGGATGTGGAGGTCATCGGGAAGCTTTATAATATGGACTTTGGAATCTCCAAAATGTCGTTTGTATTTTACCTTATTAAATATGGAGATCATGTCAAAGGTAAATGTCAAGGGTCTATAAAATTACCCTTCTTATCTCCTGTATGTTTATCAGTTGATAAATGGAAGAAAGCTAGTGCCAAAATAACTGTGAATGAATAATTTATAAATGACTAATGCATCGTGTGTGTTGTTTCAGGCAGAAAACAGTGGGACATCAATAATCAAAAGAAGTTGGATTAATTTAGCAGTATTTTGCAGTTAATATTGTTATCTAAATGCTGCAGTCTGAACCTTTGTCATCAGGAGATCCTTCTTTTTGTCGCTAAAAACTGATCCACAGATCACTGAAATCAATAGAAGTCAGCTGTTGACTTCATCAGGCTGTGAATCAAATCTATAATATGCATATCTAGCCCTTCTATTTCTTACTGCTTACATAGATTCTTGATTTTGAATTTCTTTAGTATTGTTCCATGGGATGGATGTTGGTTCATCAATTTCCTCCATCCCTGCGTGCCTGTGGATTGAGTGTCCTTGGCACAAAATTTGGTGAACTTAATGGAACAAGGATGGGGGAAATGTGACTGATGAAAGAAATAAAAATCTGCTCTCATATTTTGGATACTTGTGTTTCTGATTTATACAAGTGAAACTGATTTCTTGCAACCTATGTAAGACAGGCTTTTTTTTTTTTTTTTCTTTTTTTTTTTTTTTCTTTTTTTTTTTTTTTTCTTTTTCCCAGCATGTATTTTTCACATTCCTACTCCCCAGTAGATAACATTTGACAGATTTTCAGCGCTGGCCGCTGCGAATAAGGTTAAGCACTGAAGAAGTGAACTAGATTTTCTTCCTATTCCCTTCCATGTGATTTAAATATGGCCCATTTTGCCATCACATGACAGAGCTGCCAGAGATTGCCTCAAGGTAGTTTATGGCTTTAACTAAAGGTCATCTTATGGGGGGGAGGAGGGAGAATCCCGTGGAGTAGGGGGAGGGGACAAATGTATTTTTAAAATACATGCATTAAAAACAAAAGCTATTAATCATTCATTCGGGTGATACAAATGCAAAAGTGAAGCTGACTTTGTATCTGAGTGAATCACTTAGGGGAAAGAAAGCCACCAATAACAATAAATGCTCTTCTCTCCCTCCCTCCTTCCCTCCTTCCCCACAGCACGGTACCTCACGAAGGAAAGGTGTGCGGAGTGGTTGCCTTGATTTCAGTCTGCGGCTTTCGGTGCCTGACCTACATATCTGGCTAGCAGCTCACCGCTGCAGAAAATGCCCTCCTGCAAAACTTCTATCCCACTGGCTGCTAATAAGAGCAATTCTCACGTAGCACTGCATCCATCCCAACAATGTAATTGGTCTGGCTCTCCCAGCCGGGATCCGTTCCTCCTGCAGGCCCACGCTGCGCAGAGAAATCCCAGACCTCCTGAGGGCTGAGGGGCTCCGAAACCGTGCTATGTTATCAACAGCTACATGGTTAGCTAACTGCTGTGACTAAATGGAGATTGGGAAGCACTGCAGGCGAGGGATGAAAAGTGATGCCCTCCCATAGCACAAGGCTGATAATGCAGAATTGGCCAAAACAACGAAACTTCACAGACAGCGCAGCAGAAGGCTTTGGCTCTCTTGTTTGGGCATTTTATTACCTGGAGCAAAATGTGCAGAGAAGGGAGATAATGAAGTACTTGACTAATTCAGTGTGATCCAGCTGGCTAAGCCAGAGGGCCTGCAGAGCAGGAAAAGCTACAGAACTCACTGCTAGCCATTTTCCCTTGGTACCTGTGAAGCCAAAACAAAGAAGTGCAGAGATAAAAAAAAAAACAATAACCTGAGCAATATCAATATCGGGAAAGGGGGAGAGGGACAACAAAAAGGGAGGAGAAACCACTAAACTTCCCCTTCCTCTCCCTTCTGCTCTTTATCTAATAGGGGGAAAAATGTTACTTTCATTGCTTCGTGACATCTTCTGATTCCCTTGAGAAATTCACTGAATTCCCAAATGTTTAGCACCCTGTTTGCTGCAATGCTCAATGCCAACTTGATTTTTTTTTTTTTTTTTAATTTAACTATTATGTACCTTTTGTGTTCAGGAAAAAGACAGACAGATGCATTGTAGCGCCTTCACAAATTCGTGTTCAACCCATGGCCTAAAAGGCTAGATTCTTACCCATGGAGAGACTAGAAAATGTAGAGTGTACATTCCCCTCCCCAGCTTCTAGCCACTGGTGCATTTTCACCACTGCACTTTTTTTCTCTGACAGCCTGGCTATTTAAGCAGACGAGATGCATTGCTCCCTCTCTGCCCTTTCCTTTCTGCTCCCTGCCATCCTCCCTGTGCAGTTCCAGCTGCCCTAGCAAGCTGTTCCCAGAACCGGAGCGTGACGCTAGCAAGAAGCTGGCAGAGAATCAAAGGTGGCTACTATGCTTATTTGAATATCCAAGGCCAAACTTCGTACCTGATGTAACGCGGCAGCAATGCTGGGAGAGGAAATAGAGAAATACCCACCTTTGTGCAGGCAGAATTTAGGCCATGCTGCTCGTCGTGGCTGCCAGGGAATGAATCACTGCTGACCAGCCCGCCTGCCAGCCGCTGCTCACACCATTTTTTTTAACAGGCGGCAGCAGACACTGCGCATCACTGCGAGATGAGCATCACAAACATGCTTTGCAGGGAAGGCGACCACAGCAGACTGCCAATGCTCTACCAGTGCCAATTATAGCGACGCTTTAATCGTTAAATCTGCTTCATGAAAACGGGATCAGAGCCAAAGTGTTTGTGATTTGGAGGCTTGTACTAACTTTTGGTAGTTACCATCAGGGGCAGTTGATGTGACATCACCCTACAACTCTATGTGACTCTTATTTTTAATGGCCCACATGCCTCTACATGATAATTTTGCTGCTGGTGTTTGCTTGGCATTAGCTCGAGAGACAGCAACACCAACAACCAACTGTGAAGATGTGTTGGACATTTGCAGTTGTTATAGAAATTGGAGGCAATGACTGGAGCTTGTTCCCTCATACCTCTAAAATGGAAGTGCCTATTTGCTACCTTCTGCCTTGAAGCTAACAAAAAGGAGTAGTTGAGATAGCTGCTCTCTGACAATGTGGATATCAAGATTCAGGAAGCCTCGTGCAGTTTTATATTTAAGTTCTCCAAAAACACGTTTTACTCTCAGAAAACGTTCTCAGTATTAGAAATGTATGTTCCCTGCCCATTTCTTCCATATGGTGCTGTTGAGACCAGAAGTGCCTGGATAAAGCCTCACACTGGGTACTCCTGGGTGCTGGCAGTCAAGGGCAAAACAGGGAACATTGTCTTGCGATCGTGCTCTATTGTGGTATGGTTGGGATTTTACTGTAGACAATTTATGTGTTGTAAGCTCCTTTTGGGAAGGGAGTTAAGACTTTTATTTAGATCTTATAGTGGAGATGTTTCGACATCTAAAGTTTAAGCTACCATTTATATGACATGAAGGTTACTCGATGGTGTCCGTTGCCTAATCAGAAGTATCCATGTGATGCAAATTAGCAGCTGCTCATACATAAGTCATGAGTTCAAAGAGTCATTGCGATCCTGTATCAATACAACTATCAATAGTGATAATAAAAATTATTCAGACAAAGCCTCTTAAGGCACTGCTGGATTTAGCTATGCAGGAAGAAAGGGAATGTGCCTCTCCCTGGAGAAATGATAACCTGGAGCTATGTTGTGCTTAGAGAAGGGGAAAAAATGGCAACAAGCTTATATTCCTGCTGAGGAAATGAGTATGACTTGATCTGAAAATGTACGTGTATATGTACATTAAAGCATCTTTCTATAGGTGATTTGCTGTATTGCTACAACTATCAAGTGATAATTTCACAAAGAGGTCATATTTCAGAGTTTGGTCCCAGTAGACCAATAATCATGATCTTTCCTGCTCTTTGAAAGCTTGCCTACTGAGCCTTCATGTTACTCTAGACTAAATCTGTGAACCTTTACAATATTAAAAACCAAAGCTGATATGATAAGACCTTAATGAAGTGTTCAAATAGGAGTTAATTAGACAGCCTCATACACTCTTTGGTCAGGATTGTGTCCATCTTGGTGGTCCCAGGGACCAGGCAAGACCCATGCAACAGCATGAGAATTTAAAGTTGGAAGAGATATAATCGATCAGTAAAGATCAGAGGGATGGATCTGAGAAAGGGAAAGCTTGTGTTGCCAGCTCCTCCTTGAACGCAGCTTCCTTTCCCATCCTTTACAAACTGGAAGCACCACCGGTCCCAGCGTGCACAGCTTGCTGGGAGGGCTCTTTCAGCAATGCAAAGCACTGAACAGGAGACCCCAACAGGAGGCTGCTAGCATAAAATTTATTGAGGGTTTGATGCCATGCTTGTTATAAACAAGCAAGCCTGGCTCCTGTTATCCCTGCATGCTTTTCTAGGTGAGATTTTCCCTGGATTTCTCAGAGCAAAGTGGTATCAAATCCTCACCTGGAACAGTGGTGGGAGCTGCTGGAGAAAGCAGCATTACCAGTGCCTGGGTCACCTGAGGACTTATGAGGGTCAGAGAGACATCAACTGGATGAAAGCTGTGTGCCCTGCCTTGTGTCTCTAAATGTTACACTCATGTTTAGATAACTCACAGGTCAGTTGTTCTTCTATTTTGAGCATGCAGCAAACCATGCTGAGACAGCTTGTAAAGCATGTGACTGATTTCCCATTTTTTTTTTCCACTCCTCTCTTCCTGCTGCTGCTGCTTTCCACGGTGCATGGCTTCCCGTGGCAACTAGGAATGCTGAGAAAATAAGCAGAAAGTAATGGCTTCTGCCTGTGTTCTGGCTGTGTTTTGGGGTGCAAGGCAAACACTTCCCATTCCCTGCTTTGGTAGAGAGCTCCAACTGTAGCTGCAACTCTGCAGCAGGAGAGTGGAGGAGGGGAACTGGAGAACCAATTCCTAGGAGCACATGCACTGCTTCAGACCTTTTCTACCTTCTTTGTAACCTCTGTCTTCCAGCCGTGGCTGCCTGTTTGCATTAATTACTCCTTGCTCCCTAGATGCACTCACTTCAAGTTACCTGTAGGGTTCAGAGTGCAGAAACCAACTGACCAGGGTTGAAAGCAATTAACAAACAGGTTATTTTAAATTAATGACTTCTTTTCACCAGCTGTCCAAAGCTGTTTTTTCTTTTTCTTGCCTTGTTCATTTTGAACTCAGTGAAAAGAGGAATTGGAATTCCTTTTGCTATTGTGATGCCTTTTGCCCTTTCTTTTGTTAGTTCAATACTAAGCACTTCCAGCTTTAGATTTAAAACGAGTGTAGAAATACACAGAGTACCTAAACGAACCCTAATGGTATAGGATATTGAGAAAGAGTGGTTCTTTTCTTCTACTAGCTGTCTCTCACTAGATCAAGAGGGGTTTCTTTGTGAATGGCATATTGAGATGCCAGTGCCTTCTTGCTGTGTTGTCTTGCTATCATTCCTTCCATCTACACTCTTATGCTTTGTGGTATGGACCCTCACTGATTTCCTTACAGCTTTGCTGGGAGCTGGATTTGTATCCATCTACCCTCAAAATGCAAGGAAGCATATAATGCTGACATTTAATACTGTAAGAAGCCTTCTCTTTTCTGTGCGCTTTAAGCTTAGGCCTATCCCACCTGTGAGAGCAGCATGAGAAGGAACTCACGCCAGTCAAAATACAATTGTTTTAGGTGTCCAACTTAACTCCCTAATAAGCATTCTCATGTAGCTTCAAGCCATTAAACCCCACTGTGTCAGGTTGTTTCTCTGGTAGGACTGTATGAGATCATCCTGTTGACTCATTGATCTCAGCCTTGGGAAATGTTTTCCAACAGTTTAGCTCAGGTCTACCTCTGAATTCTTATGCCACAAGCTCTACCCCTTTTTGCCATGCTAAACCAGTTCTCTCCTACTTCAGTGCATCTCTTTAGAGGCATCTACATTGTTATGCTTTTCTCAGCTGTAGTGCTAGCCAGACAGAACCTCTAGGGTACAGCTGGGCATGTGACAGCAGTTCTGTCTGGGGAAATAATTGCCCCATTGCTGCTGACCCCAGCTCAGACTGTGTAGTGCTCAGGGTCCAGGTTGCGGTTGCTTTTGGTGCATAAGCAGGCAGGTTTGCCTAGCCTACCTTCAATGATCAATTATTTTGTCTCATCTTCTTAAATTGCTCTGTGTGCTTTACCAGAGAATTTCTGTTTCTTGCCTTTTGTCCGCTTTTCATCTTCGCTGGTTAGATCTGCTAACTGTCCCAGTTATTCTGTGGCTGTTTTGTATGAACTCCCTCCAAATTGCTGCTAGTTTTTGTTTACACAAAGCACAGAATTGAGCTTTTTTTTTTTGCTTTTTTTTTTTTCCATAGTAGAATGCACCCGATCAGTACAGATAAAAACCATTACTTTCCTCTTACTTGCTGTCTCTGCATATGCAGCCTAAAACTGTAGTGACCTTTTTTGCTGTCAGACTGCATTGTGGGCTCCTGTCTAATTTACTATCTGCTACTGACCCTCAGTCTCCTGCCCACTGCTGCTTTCTGGGTTTGTTCTGGAGTGTGTTTTTTATTTTGTTGTAAACTATGGTTTCTTCTGACTTGAATTTCATTTTGCAACTTTTCTGGTGATAGGT